GGAAAAACAGGCCCACGCAAGACATTTGACCTTTGATACATAAGTTTGCCTTTTCAGTTTCTCACGAAAAAAATTACTTTGGTAAAGATTATTTTTAATTTTTTTGGCATACAAATCACGATTGACAAGTTTCATAAACACCTGGTATTTCAGTTTCACGAACTGAAACAGCAGCTGTCAGCTAGCAACATTTAAGCTTCTCAACGGAGAGAATTAGCTTTTTTAAGATGCAAAAGGGTATCGAACTGAGACATCAGGAGTCAGCTTGCAACATCTCAGTTTCTCAGTGAGTTATGAAGTAACAACAGCAGCGAAATGTCGGAGTTTGATTCCGAGCTTTACTTCCGAGTGGCTTTCTTCGCTTTTCTTATTCCTCTCGGTTCCGGTAAGTTCTCTATCATTCGTAATTTGAGTTAAGAGCTTAACGAATTCACATACTTTTTTTCAGCAGTGACTCCAAAGATATGAAATGATTAAATTTAATTTCATTCTGCTCAATTAAAAAACTGTCGCATTCGAAATATCAGCCGAAAAGAATGTTGAACAATCGTGTACGGTGTGGGAACAGATCCTTAAATCAGCATCTACTGGGTTGAAGCGGTAGCTTGAAAGAGATCTGAACTTTTGTCGGAATACAGAACTAGCTCGCGTCGTTATCGATAAAATTATGTCGGTCTCTTAATTACACGGAACTCTAAGAGAGGCATCTTTGAAAGCTATGATTATATGAGTAGTCTAGAATTTCGACGATTTCGATTGCTTTCCTTTTCTTTTACTTCAAATAGTTTCTGCACCATGTCGAGCCTTTGCTTGAATTACGAGCTGTCGTATTTCTTGAACACAAAGTTGTGTCATTGTGCAAATTTGACACTGACTTCAAAATACTCCATTGGCTTTCCATTTTAGTGCACAAACTAGATTGATACATTTACTACCATTTAGTTGCTGCTGAAGGCAAAGAGTTAAAGATACAATGGCGATTATTCAACCTCACTCGTAGATGTTCAAGTTTTCGATGTATATTCATGAGACACGGCATGGACTGAACAACTTCTAAATAAACAATCATGATGTTTAAGTAGACATTTCATTCCTGTTTACTCGTAGAAATTTTTTTTTTAACGCCGAGAAACTGAGATTAGCAAAGACCTTTAATGAAATTCCCCATCAAGGTAAAGCTCTGAAACAGCCTTCAATACCAGGCCAAGACTTGGAAAAGCGTCTCAGAGAGTCAAAAATATCTCGAAAGATGTTCTTAAGGAATAAACAAAATTTGCGTTCGAAAGTGAAATTTTGAAACGTGTCAAATTGAAAATGTTCTTGGGAGAACATTAGTTTCAGTAAATAGTAAGATAAATTTATCATGTTGAATCTGCTCTTTAGAGTTTCATTAACGACCGGTAAAACGAGAGAATGTTAATAGAACAATTCCTAAGACCATATGGTAGTTGTAGCACCAAGGGCCTGTTTACAGGAAAGTGGGGGATCCCAGGTAAGTAAGGTAACCCGCTTAGCTGTGGTCGAAAAATAGTCCGAGTTTACACACAGTCCTACAACCCCTTTCTTTGGGTTTACCGGCCTGTAAGCCCTATTGGAATGTTGGGAGAACACCTGGAAAGGTTTTTTAATCATTCACTTCTGGCTCATGGGATGCTGGGAGAACACTTGAGAAGTTTTTAAATAAAGAGCCGGAAGTGAGTGACTTGTGAACTTTGCGAGTGTTCTCCCAACATCCTAAGTGGGTTGTTACGCTGGTGAAACAATGGAGAGCGTGGTCTTTTACTTTTATGAAATAACCATGGGTTTAATGGTACAGCAAATAGTAGGTTTTTGACCAATCAGGGTGCTTTTAGTTTCACAGTTATAATATAAAGTGTTT